CCCTGTGTGGGTTCTTTGCCCAGAGCTGGGGCGCCCCCCGACCTCCCCGGGCCCCCCCCGACCTCCCCGTGTGCATGTTCCCAGCCTGGCTGTTGCCATTCTCCCTCCATTACAGCACCCAGCCCTCTCTCCATGCCCAGTGATGTTTGTTTTTTTTCTTTTGGCAGGTGTGCAGCAGGGCCATTCCAAGCCATGATCGAGGTGTTGGCCAAGCTGGGCCGCGGGCCTGTCTTCCTGGCAGGGGAGGTGCTGGAGTGCGTGATCACTTTCACCAACCCATTATCGGCCTCGTCTACCTCCGCCAGCAGGTACGGCAGCCTGTGCCGGTGGGCCCTTCGGTGCACGAAGCCCCGAAGTGGCAGAGCTCTCTGGGTCCTTCCAGAGGGAATAGCCCTCCCTCCCTCCTGAGCAGCCAGATGTAGTCATGGTTGGGTTGTGGGGCAATGGTGCCAGCTCAGCCACTGGTGACTTCCCTGCCTGAGGTACTCCCTTAAGGGTGCTTTGCACCATTGCTATTTCGGGGCTGAAACTGAGGTAATTATTCTGGTTTTCTGCCCCCAAGAAAGAGACGAGAAAAAAAGTATGCAGTTCAAGATGCTCTTAACTGCCCCTCAGGTGAGCCCTCAGCAACAGGGTTACTGGCAGAAAATGAAGCCAAACTGGCTGTCAGAGCGGGATATCTAGTTATACCAGGGTGACACACTCACAGGGCAACATCCAGGAAACGTCATTGTTTCCTACGTTTATGGAAGGAGCGCTCTCTGTCCAGCAGAGTGCTGACATATCAGTGTGATCTCTGCCTCCAGAGCTGGCAGGCCAAGGGGTGAGCACTGCCTACAGTCAGGAAGAGGCAGCCTTCTGTGGCAGCATTTTCTGTGCCCCAGCTTTTGAGTGCTGCATCTCCCCTTATCATTACTGTGCCTGAAATAGGTGTTGAGGAAATGTGAGAAGATGGGAGCTTCCTATATTGGCTCACAGGGAATGACTCCACATCATAAGCAGTCACGCAAAGCTTCCATGTCTGCTGAGTGTGTGGCGTTGTCTGACTCTCCATGGGGTGGAGAGTGCTTTCTCATCTTCAGCCCTTCCTGGGAAGTGTCCATTTCCAGCCCTGTCAGGTTCAGCATCTTTTCATCACCAGTACTCATTTCACACGGGATTGTTTTGGTTTTCCAGCGCTTGCAGTCTCAGCAGCAGCAAACCAGTCTCTTGTATTACCGCTGTAGGGCTTCTTTGTTTATTGCTTTCCTTAACTTTCCACCTTTTCTTCCTGGTTCCTCTTTCCTGCTGGCCTGCTGAATTCAGCTTTCAAATTCAGCTGTGGCGTAAGCATCTAGCTTTCCAGAGTTTTCTCTTGTGCGGTGACAGCACTGTTTTTCCTGGTTCCAAAACATGGGACTGCAAAGGTACCAGGTGGAACAGTTTTGGAGGTTTGCAGCGCAGTTACGGGAGCTTCATTTGGGAACTTCAGGTGTGTTGTGGTCCGTAGAAAACTGCCTCTTGGAAAAAGGAAGGTTTTTAAAGTAAAAAAGCAGGTGACCAAACTGACGGGACCTGGCTAAGTCATACGAGTGGCAATGCCAAATAGATTGGTGGTTTGGAAACTGAAGTTGTGGGTTGCGTAAAGGCAGGAGCCAGATCAAAGCACAGTCACTGCAACAGGCAGATAGACCTGTCGGGGACTGGAAGATTTCAGGGCTAGCAACAGCTGCGGTGCCGGTGGAGGAACCGAGAGGCACGCATTTCAAGCATAGGGACGGAACTGAAGGACAGTAAGTAAATGGCAGAAAGTGAATTTGATTGTGGCGTAGGAGGCGTACAGGAAACAAAGCTCTTCTGCCCCAAGGCTGCGTGGAGCGCGGCCCTTGTGGGCTGCAGGAGTTGTAGGGGGAGGTGAGAGAGGAGGGAAGCGACCTCAGCACCAGTGCAGGATCCTTCTGCGCCCTGCCAGCTGGACGAGCCGGGTCTGCTGGTAGGAAGGCACGTGCAAATTTTGTTTTGAGCGTCTGGTTAAAAAAAAGAAAACAATCCCATGGCCTATTGTTGCGCAATCTGAAAATAAATGGGAGGGGAAAAAAAGATTCAAAATACAGTGTTTGAAGGTACTGTAGTCATGCTAAGCTTATATAAAATTAGTAAACATTGTCTCTTAAGCAAGAGCATTTCTCTGTTTCCATATAGCAGATGCCTTATGGCAGCCCTTATTGAAAAGGCGTGCTGGTACTTTTGAAGATACAGAATTACGATTGTGGGGTTAGAGATAACTGGGTAGAATAAGCAACGCATATTTGGGTAAAGGCATCCAGCACATAGAAAAGATCAAATAGCACATTATTACTCAGCTGAAGCGAATGCAGCACGCCTTTTTCTCTGGTTTGTCTAGATGTTTAACTGCTTTGATGTGTCACATCGAGAGAGATCTGTGTGCCACAAAAAATCCCTGTGCCGTCTAAAACTCTGGTGGCAGCGCTTACTAATCAGATCGTGATAGAAAACACCAGGGGAACCATACACTGGCTAAATTAATGAGACTGCTATTGAAATAAAAATAGATGACTGTTTTGGAAACTGAAAGCTGTCCGTAATGCCATGAGAAATGTCCTGTGGAATGGCTGAGGTCGTAGCAGAGTCCAAACCATGAGACTATTTTTCATGCTTGATGGAACCAGTTCTGGTGGCTGTACAGAGAGGGGGCAAAATGACACCTTCGCCTCCCGTGTAGCCGTCAGCGAATCCCTTGCATCATGAGGAGAAAATCGGTCCTTGTGAAGGACCCAGGAGCATCCTTCTCTGGTCTGACACAACAAGAAGTTGATGTTCCTGAGGGGGACGGTGCTGTGGGGAGGGAGCACGGCTGTGCCCTGCCTGCCCTCGGGAGTGTCAAGCGTGGGGCAGCCAGGTGCTGTGGGCAGGGGCAGCTGAACCCAGGCTGCAGGTATTTATTGCTTTTGAGTCTGCCCACTTCTCTGATGGTCGCGTTATCACCGGAGGCGCCTCGGAATGCTGCTCTGCATGTCGCTTCATGCTTGCTGTAATCCAGGTTTAAAGCATAGACACGAGTGTCGCTCTTCTTTGCTCTCAGTGAGATGCTGGCGTGGGCCAGCGCCCAGATCCACTGCCAGTTTCACGCCAGCGAGAACCGGGTAGCACTCCCTCCCTCTGATGGCAGCAAGCACGACGTGCAGGCAGAGAACGAGACAGTCTTCGTCCCCAACAGAGGTGAGTGCTACTCCTGTAACCCCGGGTAGGGATGGTGAGAGCACAGCGAGGAGTCAAGCAGACGATAACGTGTGTCTTGAGGGCAGCACGCGTAGAAGCGAGCGGGAAGTCCGTGTTGCTCTTGTTGTGTGATTCCCTCGTGATGGCTGCTGCAGGACCTTGTTAATACTGAGGTCAAAATGGCGCTAGTGTGGAGCGAAACGTGACGGTTGTCTGTCCAGCTGTTCTGGGAATGTCTCATGATCTGACCAGGGCATGAGATATTTGCTCCTTGACCCCTTCTCCTCCCCAGTCCTTCCCGTGAGGATAAGGCCCGGGTGGCCTGGGTGCAATGAGTGCCCCCCGAGGCTGGGCAGCGTTCACGTGGTTCTTCTTCTCTTCCAGGAGAGCGGGGTCAGTGTATCCTGTCCACTCCACCAAAGATTCTCTTCTGCGACTTGCGCCTGGATCCTGGGGAGTCAAAGTCCTGTGAGTCCTGTCTTCTGTTCCCCTGCTCAGAGAGCTCGCCTCTGGGGAGCCCCGCTCTCCAGGCTGGCTTTGCAGACCAGAGTGCTGCAAGTGGGAGACCCTGGTGCTCACGGAAGGCGAGGTGCTTTGGTGGGAGCATGAGTGCTAAGGAACTGCTGCATCGTCCAGAGTCTGTTCTCCACCGTATGAGGGCTGCGTACTGCAACGTCTCCCTCAGTCCTGCCCCTGGCCCGTGTCCTTTGCCGCACGTCCATTGTGTAGCTGCGAGGCATAAAATGTTTTGAAACACCTGGCTGCAGCTGAAGGAACGGTTACACGCACCTGCATTTCCTTGCCTTTATTTCTTCAGCCACGCTGGACTATTCTTGGGATTTAGGCTGGCGTCCTGCGAAGGTCTGTGCTTCCTTTTCGGGTTGTGGCTGTCCTGGAGATCACAGAGTCTTCTGCCTGTTCTAGTTTTCCTGCTGTAAAAGTGAGCGCTTCTCACCTTCTCTGCTCAAAGCTCTCCATGTCTCCAGAGCCTTCAAATGGTATCCTTCCAGTGCATCCCCTTTAAGCTCTCCTTCATCACTACTTTCCCTTTGGCTGTTTAGAGAAATTTTCATCCTTTTCACAAGGCATTCACAGCAACTTGTTTCCATTGTTCCAGGCAGCTTCTTCTACCTGAGTAGACAGCTGTGAAAATATGAGTATGTGCTGTTGTCTCTTGGTCGGTGGCTGCATGACCCAGCCTGTCAGCTTGTGTCAGATCTCCTTTGCGTTCCAGCGGCCCGTGGTCCAGCGGTGGTGTAATGTTAGGCATTGCAGGCTGCACGTGGACAGCTTCCTCCGGTTGTCCTTGGGATCCGCTGGGAATGGTTGACGGCGACCTCTCAAGTCACACAGCAAAGGGAGCGGAGAGGCAGTGCCTGTGCTGGAGGGGGCTCCGCTGGAGCCTTGAGCTCTGGGGTGGTGAGAGCAGAGCTGCAAGTGAGACCAAGAGGCCGCAGGCTGTGACATGGTGGTTTTGAAGCTGGGACCTCCTGCCTTTCTAGGCTTGGAGGGGCCTGACTGGAGGGAAAAGCGGACAGGGTGAAGCCAGACTGGCTTGGCTAGCTGGTTAGTGGGGTGTGGCAGTGCTGTCTGGGGCTGTGTCTCCTAAACTGCAAAGCCTATCGTCTTGAGCACATTTAGTTATTTACTTACTATTCTACAGCAGCATGCCAGGGAAAGGAGCTGGCCCTGCCACATCGGAGCCGAGGTCCCCTGTGCTTTCTGCAAGCCGCTGTGCCAGGGAGGAGGAGGAGGCAGAAATCTCAGCTGGCCTGAGGCTCACCTCCGTTCTCCTCTGCTCCTCGCTGCTGGCTGTTGTGGAGCTGGAGCATCCATTTCCTGGGAGCAGGGGGAAGCCCCTTTTCCTGGAGCGTCTCAGGCAGGCTGGGCAGTCTCTGGGAGAGCAGATCAGTGACGACAGTCCAGCCCCCAGGTGGCTGGGATGGATTGAGAGGATTTCCTTCTGCACTGGCTTTGCAGGCAGAAGCTATTCAGCCCCCAGCTAAGCTAGCGATAGTCTGTCCCTCCCAGTGATGTTGTATTGTGTGTGTGTGTGTGTCCGCTCTGTCACTGGGTGACACTGGTGCGAGCAGCCTGCATCTGCTGTATGGTTGGATGCAGCTCCGTAGGAAGGACACAAACTACAATTTGAGGTTCCTTGGCTGTATGTTACAGCCTTTCCCCTTGGTTGTGTGATGCACCGCATCCATTGCACGTGTCGCGTGCGATGCCGCTGCGTGTGGCACTGGGCTTTTTAGCACTGAAACCCCCATTTCACAGCTACAGTTCTGCTAGCCTGCTCACACCGATCCCGTCGGCCTGCGGTGCTGCTCCTCTCACGCGAGACTGCAAGCTGGCACGCGTGCACATCATTCCTGGGGTCTCCTGCCAGCTCTGTGGAGGCAGAGTTAAGGCTGTGTGGGTGTGTATCTTAATTCTTCATTTCCTGTTTTTCAGAAGTTTTGAGTTCTGCTGCACAGTTTGGAAAGGCAAAAAAAGGCCCCAAGAAATCTTAATTCTGCTTCAGCAAAGTACTATGTTATTAAACTGTAGCCAGAGCTGGCACGTATAGCTGAGGTTGTGTCAGGCTGTCTCTTGATAAAAGGCCTTGTTTTCAGTTGCCGACCAGCTCATTCCCCAATATCTTCTCCTTGTTATGGTGCCTATATGTTGAAGTTGACTCACCTCCCATCCCTTTGACACACTGCCCAGACTGAGCTCTTTAAATTTGTCACCATAAAACATTTTTTCAAGCCCTCAAGTCATTTCTGTGGCTGTTTTTGCCTCCTCTCCGGTTTTGTAATACCTTTAAATATTTGGTAGATCACAGAGAGGGGAGGAAATGGAGGCAGCCTGGACACGGGCCGGGAGCCCAGCCAGAGCGTACAGCGGGTGGGTACGGAAGGCATCTGTAGCACCAGGAATGTGCTTCTTTCTGGGATATGCGGGGAAGCTGGGAC